TGAAATTTGGTACCTACTGACATAGTTTGGAACTCGAGAAAGGACATAGGATACTACTCTGAACGGACGAACAGAGTCGCGGGCAAAACCTAGTATTTAAATAAATTACTTAGAAAGTATAAAATAACATTAATTCTTTTAATCATCGGAAGGCAGGCAGAGTTTAGTGTACATTTGGAGCAGTGGTTGGGCAAAGAGCTTTCGCGTATCGTGTTTCGGATTCGTGTTCCGCACAGAATAAGTGTGTGTGATGCAAAAAATGTTGCTTAAGCAATGTGTGTTTATTGTTCATGTAGATATTATAAATGCGAAAGTAACTCTGTCTGTCCGTCTGTCTGTCTGTCTTTTCTTCACGCCTGAACTACTGAACCGATTTCTGCGAAATTTGGTTCAGACATAGTTTGGAACTCGGGAAAGGACATAGGATAGTTTTTATAGCAAAAATCTGCAGGAAGCCACTATTCCACGCGAACGGAGTCGCGGGCAAAAGCTAGTATGAAATAATTTCATATTTTTATTGTATGTTTGTATGCGCTCACGATACAGGAGAGAGGAGAAATCTTAGTCACAGTCGCTCAAATATTGTGCTTGAGAAAGCAATTTTAAAAACCAAAAAATAAATAAAGTGTGCTGCGCATGCCATGCTTCGGCACGAATGGGTCGACTCGATCGGGATGATACCACGGTCTCACAGAAAACCAGCGTGAAACAACCACAGCGTTGTTTTTCATCGTGTGAATGAGGTTACCGGAGGCCCAATCCATGCCCTTCCCCCATTTCTTCCCACCCCAATCTCAAATTCTAGGAAAACCCTAATCTTTTTTTTTTGCCGCCCATGGACACCCGCAACGTAGAAGTTACGAGTGCGTTGCCGATCTTTTAGGGATTAGGGATTTGGAGATTTAGGGATTGAGGAGAGATTGGGGGAGGGGAAGGATTGGGCCTCCGGTAACCTCACTCACACGGCGAAACGCAACGCTGTGGTTACTTCACGCCGGTTTTCTGTGAGGCAGTGGTATCACTCCGGTCGAGCCAACCCATTCGTGCCGAAGCATGGCTCTCCCACACTTAAATCCCCAAAAGGCCGCCAACGTACTCGTAACTTATCTAGTGTTGCCAGCCATAGGCGGCGTCATTGTTTACCATCAGGTAATTTGCCGGCTCTTTTCTCGATCTGCAACAACAGAGGAATTACGAGTGCGTTACCGACTTTTGGGGATTAGGGATTGGGGGTCAAGAAGGAGTCGGCCTCCGGTAACCTTACTCACAATACTGTATTCAAATATTCGAATCTCAACGGATCCGGGTAACGGTTTCGAATATTCGATAATTTTGTATCGACATTATGGAACGATCCTATTAGATCGCAGCGTCTGTCTGGTCTGTAGAGGTCTGATAGATATTGATTCATTCCCGCCTCGCGCGTCGGGGAGGCAGGACGTGCGTTGCTCCCGACTAAAATATTTTACGACGCGATTAAAAAATATTTTTATTTACGCATCTAACATCAAGTATTTAAGAGTACCTATTGTGAATACTTTGGAGTATTTTAAATATCAGGTAAGGATATCGATATTATTTTTTTGTTTTGTACAATACGGTAGTGTCCAACTAGTCAAATTCAATACTTTTAACCAAATGTCAAACGTGACGTGTGAAACACTGAGTTATGACGTCATAGTATCTTATGCGTCAAATAGTTTAATTATTTCTTAAAAAAATGCTATTTTTTTTAAACTTAGTGTATCGATCGATCTATGAATAAAAGTATAGTTATTTTTTAATATATATTATTGTATTGAAACGTCGAATTAATTTATTTTTGACCTAGTGTACTACCAAATTCTATTTTTAAAACAACTCACAAAAAAAGTATTTATCCATTTATTATTTTTGTATTTATAAAATGTGTTCCATTTTATAAAAAACAAAATGGCTGCCGAATACCGCGTGGCGTCCTTTTGCAACTGCGCATGCGTTATTACTAGGGGTGAATGTTTAGGGGGAAGGAGTGAAACGGGTTGATATACAAACAATACATGTCTCGTATTATCCAAACTAATATTATAAATGCGAAAGTAACTCTGTCTGTCTGTCTGTCTCTCTTTTCTTCACGCATAAACTACTGAACATATTTGTGTGAAATTCGGTACAGACGTAGTTTTGAACTCGAGAAAGGACATAGAATAGTTTTTAAATTAAAAAATCTGCAGGAAGTCACTATTTCACGCGAACAAAGTCGCTGGCAAAAGCTAGTTGTGTTATAACAGAATGCGTCGTTGTTCGAGGGCTGATCAAGCGAGTCGTAGACCCGGTTAGACAGATTGATAATGTGGTTCTTTGGAACTTAGTACTAATTCTGTAGTACTTAGTACTACAAAAATTCACCCTGTGTCCGATTCGTGACAGACACATGACTCGAATTGTCGAATACAGGCTTCGCTTCTAAGATAAAGAATAAGTATTACCAAAGTTTTTGTTTCACGAAATGGAATGTCGTGGTGGCACTTCTCATGCGAGGGTTCGAAACCTGGCAAGTACCAATATGACTTTTCCAAGTTCTATATACTTTCTATCTATGATTATTTAGACACCACTGACATACGGTGAAGGTAAACATCGTGAGAAAACCTGGACTTTTGAGTTTGAAAGTCGCCAGTCCGCATTGAACAAGCGTGGTGGTTAATGCTCAAATCTTCTCCGTGTGCCAACAGGGCTTTGCTCAGCAGTGGGCACTTATAGGCTGATGATGTGTGCGTGATGATGAAATGGAATGAGTTCCTAAATTGACCTCTTATTGTAGCCAGCAGACAGTGCGTTGGTGCTTCTGTTTCCCTTCATTAGCGATGAGGATACAATTATTATTTTTAACAAAATCAATACGGTCTAGCAAAGATGGCGTTTATCCCACACGCATGCGCAGTAAAAGAGGGTGTCTGTGGGGTGACTATGGGGTGTGATATGGTGTACCGTGGAGTCTAGACTAAGGCCCCGGCCACACACTGGCGGAACTAAAGCGTTTTCAACAATTTCATTGTAATTGCGGGACAAAACTAGAAGTCTTTATTTTGTGGGGTGAAAATCATCAAATGGCTTCTCTTACCCAGGGTAAGGCGAGAAGGAGGGTCAGAGTATTACTGACTAAAATCCCCCGGTCCTTCTCCTGCTCCAGGCCGAAGCTACGGTATTATATTGCGCTTGCTCTGCAACCTCGACTTAACATCAGCTCTATAGGGCCCCGTCTGTGGTGGTCCATTGGCTCTTTGCGAGCTGAACGCTATGCGCTGTCCGGGTCGGGCGGAGAGTTATCCTTGCTCGCCGTCCCTCGACCAAGCGAGACCCTCGCTTAAGGTGGTTGGAGATCGTTGCTCGATCCTCAACGCCCGGAGTGCCGTCTACTACTGCGGACCTGAAGTTTAACCCCTTTTTTGACGCTCACGCGGATAACAGTTAAGGAAGAACTCCTCTTTAACTGACTAATACTTCAGGACATTCGCCTCCTCGTTATGTCAAAAAGTCAAAAATCATTTATTCCAATTAGACCCTCACAGGCACTTTTGAATGTCAAACAAAATTTTGAAGATGTAGTGTCAGTCTGTCGGTCAGTCCTCTTAGTGAAGCTATTTCCTCGTTCCAAAGTGTAGATTCCTATTGAGAAGAACATTTTATAATTTCTTAGACTTACCCCATTGCGCATATTGTAGTGTAGTGTAGGAGAGTCATCTATCGGCAAGCAGTACCACGGCCATTTCGGAGAATAAAAAGCTCAAAGTTTTTAAATAGGTAATAGTTTTAGTGAAAAAAAACCCTTTTTATTGTCAGTTAGACAATTCAAAAATTGTCAGAAACGTATTTTTATTTTTTCGTCAAACAAAACAATATTTAGATTAATTACAATTAGGCATGTCGGAGATTCGCTACCAGTGGGTCGCGACATTATTAAATCATACAATATTATTTAAGGAATATAACTACAACAACTGAGAACGCAGGAAGTTTAGCGGGGAGTAACTTTGTTGGTTGCTGCCGCCAACGCCGCGATCTTTCCAAAAGTGTTTCCCCGCGCTCAGTGACGCTGTCAATCTCATTCGCTGTCAAAATGTCAAAGTATGATTAATCTTCCGGATCGGTGTTGCCATTACTCCACGCTAACCCTCCTCAAGTAATTACTTGACGCTCCCAACAATAGTTGCCATATCTACATCGATTGATATGCGTTGACGCTTCGACAGGCATATAGGTACTCATCTCAGTGAATCATTTGATGATGAGAAAAACAACAATACATTAAAAAGCATAAGATTTCTTAATAAAAATCAGTTGTGGAAGAGCCATGCTTCGGCACGAATGTGTCTGGTCGACCGGAGTGATACCACGACTTCACAGAAAACCGGCGTTAAGCAACACTTACTCTGTGTTTCACCGTGTGAGTGAGGTTACCGGAGGCTCAAGCTCCTTTCCCTCCATCCTCAATCCCTAAATCGCCCATCCTTAAATCCCTAAAAACCCACAACAGGTCGGAAACGCACTTGTAGTAACTCTTGGTATTACAAGTGTCCATGGGCGGCGCTGATTGCTTACCACCAGGTAATCCGTCTGCTCGTTTGCCGACCTATAACATAAAAAGGATATATACCTAATGTTATCTGAAGTCCAGGCTCAGGTTTTGCCAAATGACAATGGAACGTAGCCGGTTTTGCTTAAAACGGACTGATCGCATACGGAATACCGTGATACGTTCCAGAACAGGAGTCGCTGATGTGGTCCAAAAGGTGGCAAAATTAAATTGGGACTGGGCTACTATAATATTGTCACCCAGTGGATATATCAAGAAGGCCGCAGGTGGGGTAGGCCCCAGAAAAGATGGCGGGACAATCTAGACGCCTATCGTCGAGACTGGTAGACACGGTCGAAAGATGGGAAGGTGTGGAAGCGAGATGGGGAGGCCCTTGCCCAGGATTAGGACATTATAGGCTAGTAAAAAAAAGTTGTAATGTAATCTAAGCTTTATTAAAATAATTAAACACTATTGTCACTTGGCCAGACGATGTTTTCTATCCATGGTATGTAAGACCAGACCCTGGTGTACACTCCTGCAGAACCAGGAGTTGCACATCTATGGATCTCATTTGAAGTTACCCCTACCACAGTGTACATGCAATTTATTTTCTCGCTTTTAATCTGAAGAGGACCTCCACTATCACCCTGAAATTGAAAAATAATAATTTTAGTGTTGGAGGGCCACGGCATTTAAAATTAAAAAAACCGCCGTCAAAAAATCTAACACTCCTTTAAAAAGTAATCATTAAAAAAAAAACGTGACGTGGGGGGACCGATCCAAATATTTTATTATGTACTACATATTTCTATTTTGTCGGGGATCTAATTTATTTTTTATTTTATCCTTTTTATAGGTATTTTTAATCATTTTCTCTCGATTAAGTCATTACCATTCCCTTTTAGTGCGCTTTCATTTGAGACCCCACTCGAGTATATTTGCAGACCTTCGGTTACCCTTCGCCACTTACCCCCCATAACTTCTAAACGGCTCAACCGATTTTCGTCAAACATGTCTAAGGACAATCCCACACAAGTTACCTTTAATACAAAAAAAACTAAATTGAAATCGCTTCATCCGTTCAGGCTCCAGGATGCCACAGACACACAGACAGACAGACACGTCAAAGTTATAACACCCCTCTTTTCCCGTCGGGGGTTAAAAATATATGTAATGTTAGTAGTCGTGGAACTTACAGGACAAGTGTCTTTAGTTCGTCTACCCTGGCTGGAATCAGGCATATCCTTATCTCCGTAGCAGGTCTGTGTGGATTCGTCGAAACCTCTTCTGTATAACCTGTGTACCTTATACAGGTCACTACATTCCTCGACGGAGAACTTCGTTAAGATGACCTGGAAATGGCAAAAGTATTTTATTTTTATTCTTGATGCAGATTGATTTTAAGCTGCCTTCTTTGAAGTCGTTGAGGGACATCTACTTTTGATCAGTCGCCATATTTATTGAAAACCCTCCCACCTCCCTATCCTCAGTCCTGAAATCCCTTATAACCCACGAGAGGTCGGCAACGCACTCGTAATAACTCCTATGATATTACGAGTATCTATAGGCGGCGATGCTTGCTTACCATCAGGTAATTAGACAGCTCGTTTCTCGACTTATCACTAAAAAAAATTGTTGAAATATAGCTTATTTCAAAATTAAACTAACTTATGTTTCTCCTTATCTCATCGTCACACACACAAATAGAAAAAATTTGTACATTATGATGTCCAATTATAAGTTTGAAATCGCGAATCCACCTTGAGCAATCGTGGTGGTTAATGCTCAAACCTTCTCCTTGTGAGACGCTTCTCAGAGGCTGCTGACTTTGCTCAGCAGTGGGCACTTATAGGCTGATGATGATGATGGGGGTACGCAAAGTATATGTCCTTACCTTTTGAAGAATTTCGGCTCCGCTCCTAGCCAGAGGCTGGGTAAGACCCCATCCTGTTGCTAAAGCCTTGGAGTCATCTTCTGGTTCTGTATGAAGGCAAGCAGGAACGGTAAACTGGTTCAGCTGCATCCTGTAACCATTTTCAACTTATCATAAGAAAATTATTAAAAATAATTAACAACATTTATCAAATATGGAAACAAGAAAAAAACAATGAATTTATTTTTGCAAATAGGCCATTTCCTTTCTGACTACTCTAAAAAGAGAAGCCAAAACAAACTGAGAGGTCCAAAATAATATGAAATGAGGAACTCAATTTTTTTACTAGTACGTAGCCAAAGGTTCCATCAGCCCAACCCTCCCCCTTTCCCCTTCCTCAATCTCCAAAACCCTAATCACCAAAAGGTCGGCAAAGAACTCGTAACTCCTCTGTTGTTGCCAGTGTCCATGGGCAGGGCTGATTGCATACAAATGGCAATCTGTTTGCATTAAAAAAAAAACAATCACACGTGTGATATCAGATTCTTAGATTTTGTCCCAGCGTGGCTTGGTGGAGCCGTGGTTAAAGGTCGGGATGTCATGTTTGAATGACACTTCTCTTATAAGTGTGGGATAGCCATGCTTCGGCACGAATGGGTCACCTCGACCGGCTTCACTGAAAACCGGCGTGAAACAACCACAGCGTTGTGTTGTGAGGTTACCGGAGGCCCAATCCCTCTCCCAACCTCCATCCTTTCCCAACCCTTAAATATCCAAAACCCTTATCCCTAAAAGGCCGGTAACGCCATCGTAACTCCAAATGGTGTTGCGGGTGTCCATGGGCGGCGCTGATTGCTTACCATCAGGTAAATCGTTATAAAAAAATACTTACTCTCTGTCAGTCTTTATCAGAGCGATATCGTCGTATTTGGAAGGAGATCTGTAGTGAGGGTGGTTTATAAACTGCTCTATCAAATATATCTTCGACTGGTCTCTAGCCTCATCTTTCCTGAGCACACCTATTGCTACAAAAGTAGCTGGTCCGCTGAAATTGAGAGCAAAATTTTAGCTAAAAATTTTCTTAAAAATGATTTGTCTGGTGTTTAGGTTTGGTTTGTACATTTTGGATCTAAAGCCTTTAGTGAATTCATTGAAAGAGAAGTTATACAGCTTAGCGTTTGCCATAGTCATGCAAACTGAACGTGTTTACAAAAAATTTGATCAATCTGTATATCTGTCGGTTTTAGGACTAAGTATTCAACTCGAGACAGTAAAAATATTTGTCCTTGAAGCTATTTTCTGAAATTAAGAACTAAATTTAACCTAAAAATAACTTGAGAAAAAGAGTCGTGGGAGAGAGAGAGACAGAGAGAGTTGATTTATTGTATATAAAAGAAAGGATAGAGTAGGTACGTAGGGGTGGGTAGTGTAGGTAGTCAAATGACGGGAGCGAAGCCGAGTGTAAAAGCCAGGCAACAAAAAACTCACAATTGAGGTGACGACGAGCAATGAGCCGCTGTTAAGATGAATCTCTCGCTGATGATGGAGCCACCACATTTAAAATCAAGTTCGGAGATCATTCCAAAACCGATCAGTGCCTAAAAACAATAAAACGGTATAATCCGTCAGTGACTTAACGATAAAAATATTGAACCTATTAGTTTCCGTTTGGGCTCGGTAGATGGCACTAATATTAAGTAGAGGTCCGGTTGTCCAATAGAAAATTAGCTGATTAATTGATAAACTTTTGAGAGTCACAGTTATTGAACTAGCCACGCTACGTAATTGACGTTTAGGTCACCGAATAATCTAATAAAATCTTCGTGACTACATTTTTTATATGGTTCCACTTCTTTCAATTATAACCTAACAGGCTACTGCATTCTACTCGCTAGATGGAGCTAGTTTGGACCTCTCAATGCATTCAAAAGAAAATTAGCTTATGTCACAACGTAACATTGAAGTAGTTACAAAACAAAAATAAAGTATCTTCCTCAGTCATAAGTTAATTAATTAAACGTTGTATACAGATAATAAATTGTTTCGCCACGTGAGTCAGGTTACTGCATGGAGGTCTAATCTTTCGTCCCTTCCCCCAATCCTTGCCTAATCCATAAACATCCGATACCCTAATCTCCAAAAGGCAGGCAAAGCACACGTAACTCCTCTGTGTCCATTTAAGCGTTCTGGGTGTCCATGGGCGGCACCGATAGCTTACTATCGGGTAATTTACAAGAAATAAATATGATATTGGACGAAACATTATGATGAAGTCACAGGTTTTTAATTTTAACAAAATTCATAGAAGAGATGTCGTTTTTGATAATTCCATAAATGTGTTGAATTTCACAAATTATTAAAAACCACATTGCAAGTAATACAAAAACTCCTTTAATTGTAGATAAGCTCCATCTAGCGAGTAAAAAACGAACTGTAGCCTTCGTAACTACCTACCATGTGTGGAAATTCGTGCAAGCTGGCGTCCTCGCCACCAGATATCAGCTGGTCAGTCTTATGATGGCAATTGTTGCTCCTTCCATAGCCTCCAGCGAGGGAAGCTTTTCGTTCACAAGGATACACATATTTCTCTTGATATTCTTTACATTCTGCAATCATAAAAAAACGTGTGGGAGAACCAAGCTTTGGCACGAATGGGTTGGATCGACCGGAGTGATACCACGGCCTCACAGAAAACCTGCGTGAAACAACCACAATGTTGTGTTTCGCCGTGTAAGTAAGACTACCGGAGGCCTAATCCTTCCAATCCCTAAATCTTCAAATCCCTAATCCCAAAAAGGTCGGCAAGGCACTCGTAACTCCTCTATTGTGGGTGTCCATGGGCGGCGCTGATTGCTTACGATCAGGTAATCCGTCTGCTCGTTTGCCGACATGAAAAAAAAATGATCGTTATAAAACATCGAAACGTTTGCCAACCTATTCCAAAGAAACAAACCAAACATTCTATATTTTACTATTGTCGTAGGTTTTAGTCAGTAAGAGTCTGACACTCTCTCACGCTCAGCAGTGGATATCTGCCAGCCTATAATGATACTAAGTTCTTACTGTCAAATGCCTTTCGTCCGGTTTTCGGTGCCGTCTGCGATGGATTTATAAGCCTGCAATTTTCCTCTTCATTATTAAACCGTGACGATGAAGCTGCTGTCGGTTTGGATACTCTGAAAATCATAAAGATAGTTCAATGGATGGTCAAGAACTGCGCGATTTTCGCCAAACTTCCTGCCTCGCACAGCAAAACTTTGGAATGGTCTTTTTGCGGGGGTATTTCCGAACCGATACGACCTTCAAACCTTTAAGAAATGGGCGAGACGTGGAGTCACGAGCACATTGCCAGCCGTTTTCTTCTTAAAAGACCGAAAACGTGCCTGTGAATTCTCTGGTGTTGCGGTTGTCCATGGGCGGCGTTGATCACTTACCATCAGGTGTTGTCTTTATCACCAAGTGTTTTCCAAAATAAAGAGCTATTCATTAATTATAAGATGGCAGCTTAAACTTATTTCCTCTTAATCTGTGATCTCCAACTTACTTTGACGAAAGACCACCATAGCTGGGGCCAGCTAGGGCTCATACTCAGCCTGGGTCAAGCGCGTAAATGCATTGTGCCCTCGGCCTGGACCAGAAGAAGTAAAGGAGTTTAAAACTTACGTCATTCCTCATTCATGATGATATTCCCCCCTCAAAAATAAAACTGTTTGGAGTTCACGAGAAACCCCTTTTTGTATAGGACCCTTTGTCCAACTGTTGATGATAACGATGACGTCATCGTCATATTAGCAGACATCTTTTAATTCCAGTATGGTTCTTTTTACTATGGCCCGGATCGGAGCTTTTTTTTTAAAAAGAGTAACGATGGAGTTTCTTGCTCGTTCTTCTCCATTCGAAACTACAATTTGGAACGAGCACCCAGCTTTACTGATGAACAGACTCACAGACTACTATTCTATTTTGAGGTTTTAAAAGTACCTATTTATGGTTTAGTTGAAATAAATGATTTTGATTTGATTTGATTTGAGCAGGATGAGGTTAAAATTTAATGTTAAAAGCATGTGTTTATGCTGGTTTTCAAAGCTTGGTGTATACTTGAGCACCTAAGTCTGGTGTGACGTTAAGACAAATATAAAAAAATCGTAATACCTTTTAGTATAACTAGTCGTGTTGAAACAACAAACGATTGGTTCAGTTTCCTGGAAACCGCAGATCTGTGGAAGAGAAAATTACTTCTTCTTCTTCTTCTTACGCCCCGGGATGGGGTGAGAAGGAGTGTCAGACTGTTACTAATTCAAAACCTGCCCGTTCCTTCTCCTGCTTTAGGCCGAGGCCGTGGAGCGCTTGCCCCGCAACCCCGGCTGAACATGAGCCCTATAGGGTCCCGGCTGTGGTGGTCTATTGGCTCTTTGAGGCGCGCGAGGAACGCTACTCGCCGTACCCTAGGGTCTGGTTCTGGTCGGGTAGCGATTTACCCTTACTCGGTGTTCGCAGACCCGTGAGGCCGGGGCACATATTCCTACTGGGCCTGGTCGAGTACGCTCGGATCGGCAATCTACCATTGCTCGAAGTCCGCAGATTCACACAATCGGCGGCAGGAAATCGTCGCGCGATCCCCGATGCCTATATCTCTAGTCTTGTATCTCTACCACAAATGGGGTCCACTAGAACCGATGTCCTCGGCCCGAAGCGTGAGAAGGAACGGTATGGTTGTTACTCAATAAAATTGGGTAGTTTCCTAAGTCAAAAATAAATTAATTCGATGTTTCAATACAATAAAATATTAAAAAATAACTATACTTTTATTCATCGATCGATCGATACACCAAGTTTTAGATTTTTTTTAGCTAATTATTGTGAAATAAGTAAGCTATTTGACGCAAAAATGTTATGACGTCATAGCTCAGTTTTTCATATAAATTTCATAGAAAAGTATCGTTTTTGACGTTTGGATAAAAGTATTGAATTTGACTAGTTGGAAACTACCGTATTCTGACACTTTCATCACACTAGGCGGGAGAAGTCATTTAAAACATAGTTTTCCCTTTTTAAAAAAACCCCTATATATGTATATAGGTATATATTTAGGGAGGTGATGTCATTACCATAGGTTGTACGCCGTTGGCGAGGTCTTCTAGGCCAGTCTTACAATCCCTCAAGACAATACACGTACCGGAATCCTGTCTATCCTTCTTCGTGCACGTGTCTCCTAAACAAAAACAGAAATCATAATGAATCCTATTTTGCGTATTGTAGGTCTACTTTACAAGTAGTTGAAAAAGAGGTTGTCATAATCTTTATGATAGGCCGATGGGTTGGAGATATATTTGTCAGTGGACTGGACTGTTCTTGATGATAAAATGGAATCTTTTGACCTGTTCTGATTATCGTTCGTTCCAGGTTACCAGAGATCCCATCCTCTCCATCCATCTACATTATGATATGGTAGCAAACGACAGATTACCTGATGGTAAGCAATCGGTGCTGCCCGTGGACACCCACGACACACGAGGAGTTGCAAGGGTGTTACAATCTTTTGGAGGTGAAGGGTTAAGAGGATTTAGGGATTGGAGAGACGCGAGGGAGGGAAAAGCATTGAGCCTTCGGTAACCTCGCTCACGCAGCAACGCCTTGCGTTGTGGTTGTTTCACGCCGCCTGTTTTCGGTAACGCCGTGGTACATATCACACCGGTCGAGTTAGCCCATTCGTGTCGAAGCAAAGCGTCTTCCACACTTAATAACTAACGAACTAAAAGACCAGCAACGCATTTATATTACTCCTTTGTATTGTGAGTGTCTATGGATGGTGCTGATTGCTTACCGTCAGGTGACCCATCTGAACTTTGCCAATTTAACCGATGGAATAGAAAAAAAAATACCTTCGTATAAACAGACCACAGACTGCACTATACAATATACAAGGATTAATTTTAAAAACATTTTTCCTTTGCACTTTAGGTATAACTAAACTACTAAATTTTTAGCAATAAAAAAACTAAAATATAACTTTTTGCACTTTTTTGTTTAAATTAGGAACACGTTTGTCAACTACGAAAACTACACACAGACTGCCAAAATACAAATCTACTTTATTATTCATATTACCTATTTATAAACGTATGTGCGTCGCGGGTTTTCATAAAATCTTTTTTTACAAATAAATATATCATGCTGGGAACTGCTAAACCGATTTTGGTGATTTTTTTTTAATGTGTAAATCGGCAAACGAACTGACTTAATAAATCGGATTACCTGATGGTAAGCAATCAGGGCCGCACATGGACGAGTTACGAGTGCGTTGCTGATCTTTCATGGATTTGGAGATTTAGGGATTGGGGGAGGGAAAGGATTGGGCCTTCGGTAACTTAATTCACACGGCGAAACACAACGCTGTGGTTGTTTCACGCCGATTTTCTGTGAGGCCGTGGTATCAGTCCGGTCGAGCCGACCCATTCGTGCCGAAGCATATGGCTCTCAAAGCGTTACTCCTTTGGGTAATCCGTATTTGAATATTAAAATTTTTGTCTTTAAAGTTTTTATGAAAACGTGCGCTGTCGCGTCGAAAAGGTGCTCTTCATAATATTGACCTTTAGCAATTCTCGTAAATGCTTTTGCCTTATTTCGGCGTAAGAGTTCATGATCGATATAAATAAGTAGATCCCTTTGCAGATGTACTTCTTTAATCGCTAATTATAATATAAGTTTACAATAATTGAGTGTGTTTTCGTCGCGACTATTAGAATGGCAGTGGCCGGAAGGCGCGCAGCTCGAACCTCTCGCTCGCGCTACGGATGCGTTCCATACACGACGAAGAATGATGCGTTCCGGCGTAGACATCCTCCGGCCCTTGAAAGTTTAACTTTCAACTTCTTGTGGTAGCCGAACGACATTGTGGATCGCTCGGCGAATAGTGCCTCTGGCGGTGTAAATGTCAACCACTCGACACACGTTGTCTGGTCCCTGGTGCAGACGTGAAATGCGGCCAAGGCGCCAGCGTTGCGGTGGTGAAAAATCTTCTTTAATTACTACCATATCCCCGACCTTAGGATTGGCCTGAGGAGTCGTCCATTTAGTTCTCAATTGCAATTCCGCCAAGAATTCCTTTCGCCATCGCTCCCAGAATTCATCACGAATTTTTGTTATTGCGTGGTATTTCGGTCTGCCGTCGTCTGCTGGATGCGAGGGCAATGACACCAGAGGCCGTCCAATGAGGAAGTGCCCTGGGGTGAGGGGAGTTAGGTCAAAAGGATCGGACGAGATAGGAGAAAGAGGACGGGAGTTTAAGATAGCTTCGATTTGTGAAAATAGCGTAGTCAATTCTTCAAAAGTAAATGATTGATTACCAACAATCCTAACTAAATGATATTTTGCTGCCTTAACACCCGCCTCCCATATACCTCCGAAATGAGGAGAATAAGCTGGACTAAAAACGAAATCTATACCTTCAGAGGTAGCAAAATCTGTGACAGACTCACGACTGGAGCGCAAAATTTTACCAAGTTCATTATTTGCTCCTATAAAATTGGTACCGTTATCGCAATATAAAACTTTAGGTTTACCTCGACGCGCGATGAAACGACGCAAACACAATATAAAGGCATCTGTAGTGAGATCGCTCACTACCTCCAAGTGGACAGCTCTAGTGTTCAAGCACACAAATAAGCAAAGGTAACATTTTGTTTTACGATTACCTCTCCCCCTTTTACTTGATATAAGAAAAGGGCCTGCAAAGTCAGTGCCACTTGAATAGAAGGGGAAGGTTGCTTCTGTCCTTACTGCGGGTAAATTTCCCATAATAGGTTGAATAGTCTTACCGCGATAGCGAGCACATATTACACAAGATTTTGCGACCTTACGCGCCAACTGCCTACCTCCGATAGGCCAATAAGAGTCACGTATCGAGGACAGCAGCAGCTGAGGACCTGCGTGAAATAGCCGGCGATGTTCATGTTGCAATAACAAGGATGTAAAAGTATGCCTGCCATCTAAAATAACAGGATGTTTCTTATTATATTCATAGGAGGAGTTCTCCAATCGACCGCCTACTCTCAACAAGCCTTCTGTATCAATAAATGGATTTAACTGTAATAACTTCGATTTTTTATTTAAATGTTGACCAGAAGATAGTGCCTTTATTTCAGTTGTAAAACATTCACCTTGACTAAATTTAATAAGTAGATTTAAAGCCTTGTTTATTTCTACTGTTTGCAACGTACCAGTGCATTTGTTATGTTTATTATGTATATTGCTTATAAATCTTAAAACGTACGCAAAAATTCTCTTCAGTCTGTTAAAATTTGAAAAATCTTTAAAGTTTATGAAATGATTTTCAGGGGCTTCAGCAGCGTTCACATACGCCTTAAGCTCTGGAAGCTCTACTATAGAGTGTGGAGTTTGTGGCCAGGAAGAAGAGCCTTCCTTCAAGAAGGGAGGTCCTTCCCACCACAAGGGCTCCACGAGCAAGCGTTGAGGGACAACCCCCCTAGAGGCCAGATCTGCAGGATTGAAATCAGTGGGAACATGTCGCCATGAACACCCTTTAGTTAATTCTAATACCTCAGCTACACGATTGGCAACAAAGGTTTTCAAAAGTTTAGGCTGAGCCTTAAGCCAACCCAGGACGACAGTTGAATCAGTCCACATAATAGTATTGGTGATAGAAATACGAATTGATTGAAGTACTTTTGCTACCAGTCGAGCACCAAGCAAAGCACTACACAATTCCAAGCGAGGGGTGGTCATGGCCTTCAGGGGCGCAACCCTCGACTTTGCGCACAATAACCTGATGACAATATTATTGCTACTATTTGTAGAACGTAGATAGACGCACGCTCCGTATGCTTCGTGCGATGCGTCTACAAAACAGTGTAATTCAACATTAGTAAAGAAATCATCACATAATGCATATCTTGGTATTTTAATATCTGACAATGTTTTAAGATTTTCTGCTATATCTAACCATTTTTTAGCTATGTGAGATGGCACTGGATCATCCCAGGCTAATTTCTCATTCCATAATAGTTGTAAAATTATTTTTGATTTTATAACACAAGCACATAAAAGACCTAATGGATCAAATATCTTACAGGTAAGTGAAATTATAGAACGTTTTGTTATCTTATTATTATCACTACTTAAATCTGTACTAAAATGTAAAGTATCTGTATCTGGTGATCAATTCAAACCCAGAACAGACGATTCTTTATTTAATTCTAAAACTGAAGTTGTAGTGTCATTCTGAAATGCTTCAGGACAATTAGTTCTAATTTTATGTAGCGGAAAACCAGCTGAATTTAAAACATTTTCTACACTACTATAAATATGCTTTATAGAATCCTTAGATTCGGCGCCTGTAGTCAGGTCGTCGATGTATACATCATGCTCTAAGATGTTAGATATGGTAGTGTCAGGACACTCACGAGCCAATTGAAGAATACATCTCGTGCTTAAGTAGGGCGCTGAGGCCGTGCCATAAGTAACGGTATTTAATTGGAGTACCTTAATTGGCCGTGGATGTCCTGACACAGAACCTGATCCTGCTTCATCATCCCTCCACAATATGAGCTGCAGATGGCGCTGACTGGGATCAATCTCAATTTGTCTGTACATCTTTTGAATGTCTCCAGTAATTACATATCTAAAGCATCGAAAACGAATTAGTATTGAAGTTAAATCATCTTGTAACACAGGTCCAATAAGCTGAATATCATTTAAAGATTTACCAGAAGTGGTTTTGGCTGAGGCATCAAAAACCACTCTGAGTTTTGTAGTTTCACTTTTTTCCTTTAAAACAGCATGATGTGGCAAATAATAACCAAAACTAGGTCTCTGTATTTCAGTTAAATGACCCAAGTCACGATACTCTTTAATAAAATTAAAATATTGTTCTTTTAGATTAGGATTTTTATTTAATTTATTCTCTAAAGATAAAAAACGCTTTTTGGCTAAATAAAAAGAATCTCCAAGAGCTTCTTCAGGAATTTCCTTCAGAGGCATCTTTACTGAAAATCTACCATTACTAAGGCGTTTGACATTTTCTTGAAAATGGGACTCGCACAACCTTTCTTCAGGTGTGCCAATATTAATCTTTAAATTTAATTCTTCAATTTCCCAAAATTTCTGTAAATTATCATTAATATTATGAGTATAATTACAAATAACATGGCCAGGTTTATAAATACCCACTGGCCCACTTACAAGCCAACCTAACTGTGATTCCTGAAGAACTGGTCTACCTACACCTAGAGTTATACGCTTGAACCCTACTAAATCCCAAAATATGTCAGCGCCCAACAGTAAATCAACTTCTGCGGGACAATAAAAATATGGGTCTGCAAGCTCAATATTGGGAGGTAAGTCTAGTTCTAGAATATTAACAGGAGAATTAGGCAAAGTACCTGTTACCTTAGGGACTACTAGACATGTTATCATAGTACTAAAATTTTTATTCCTTGATTCTATCCCTAAGGTGACACGTTCAGATATACTAAATGCAACATTATTAATGCCCGAGACACGGAGCGGTTCAATATTGTGAACAGGTAAGTTTAATTTTCTTTTCAGATTATCAGTCACAAAGGACGATTGGCTACCACTGTCCAACAACGCGCGAACAGGGTAAGTTTCATTATTAATCATATTTTTTACTGATACAACAGCAGTACACAGCAATACTTGACTACTATTAGAGATGCCAGACAGTGTAACTGGAGGCAGTGTCTGTGACTGTGAAGCAACTGTAGAATTAATATTTTCTAAGTGCTTATCATTTTTATTTAAATGCAACAAAGTATTATGACTATATTTACAATGACGACACATGGATTTCAGACGACAATTCTGAAAGTTATGACCTTCACGTAAACAATTATGACATACTTTTAATCGTTTAACTTCCGTTACCCTATGGGGAACATCCATATCTTTAAATTTTGGACAATCATAAATGCGATGTCCTTGTTTATTGCAACATAAACACACAAAGTCACATACAGTCTCACCTGATGCTACAGGACTCGAAATCTTTAAGTTATCAAATGATTTATTATTTTTTGAAACTGAATTATTATTATTCCAAAATTTTTTGTTATGATTATTTGAGTTAGAATTACTCGAACTTTCACTATGATTTGTTGTACGAGATACAGCATTCTCTAAAACATCAGCACGGTTACGGATAAACGTATAAAATTGATCTAAAGTTGGATTGTCAGAACAATTACTTAAATATTCCTCCCATTTCATATTTGTAGTGGCATCTAATTTCATAGTTATGATGAATATAATGTGGACATCCCAATATTCTGTGGGTATACCAAGGGCCTTAAACGCTCTCATATTTTTATTAACATGATCCAATAAGTTCCGCAATGCTTTATGTGATTCTGTTGTGATGGGATTGATTAAATGTAATGATTTTAAATGACTATTAATGAGAACTCTCTTATTATCATACCTAGCACACAATAAATCCCATGCAATCTTATAATTTATTGATGTAAACTCTAATGACTTTATAACCTCACTAGCACTGCCCTCCAGTGAAGCCCGCAGGTAGTGAAACTTATTGATATCCTGTATTGATGCATTCTCATGAATTAAAGACAAATAAGTATCTCTAAACTCAAGCCACTTCAAATATGAGCCATCAAACACAGGCAATTTAATGGTTGGTAACTTAACTGAACTTTCATTAGATTGTGAGGGTAATTGTGATTTGACATTAACCGGATTTAACTTTTCTAAAATATCTTGTAAGGTTGAAATTGCTGTAATGAACTGATTCTCTATTGTAGATCTAGTATTTATCTGTTCTTGTATTTCAGATTCATCACAAAGTAATTCTATTTTGTCTTGAAAGGTCTCAAAATCTTTATATAAGGTTTCACACTTTTTTAAATGTAATTTAATTTCAATAACTTGTGCATTTGATAAACTAGAGAAATCCACTAACTTGAGAGTGTTTATGTATTGTGTTTGCGTCGTCAAACGACCTCTTATATTTCCACGTTGCCTAACCAATGTACTTAGTTCAGTACTTTTAGAAGTAGACATCTTTAAATTTAATCACTCACAACAAATATTAACAAAGAAATATAATGAACTAGGTAAATAAATTGTGCATCTAACCCAATTATTGTTCCTTACTCCAGTCGCAGTGTGTAGCACAGGAAAGTCACCGCCTTATTGCAGACTGCACGGCGTCCCAGTAGTGCTCAAACCTGGCGCGGCGTAGATGGATACTACATGCAGCACAGGCGCACTTCTCTCATGCAATGCAAAACGGGCTGGATATTTATGCCCACAGCCGCGCCAAGCATACGAATCTGGAAACGTTCGGCAAATCTTATGAAGCAAAGCTAAGCAAAGCAAGCTAGAAAATGGTGCAAATAAGGACGGCTAAAATTTACAGTGAAAACAAAGAAACCCCCATGTGCATAATATGCAAGAAGTAGGCAAACCCATGCCGCGTGTCACACACACCAGAAAATAAGAATGCTCAGCCGAGTGGCATGAAAAATAAATGTAGGAAGAACGGGCGGCAGGGTATCAAGGCAGCAAAATATTAGTTTTAACTAGGTACTAGTGCCTATCACAGTTAAGGCTTAAATTATCGACTTGAAAGTACCCAAGTTAGGCCATATATTAAAATTTTAATAAGAAAAAATTACTTGAAAATGACCAACCTTTCTAATCATGACGAACTAAAATGAAATTTAATTTTATATAGAAACATACAAATGGCGGACGACGAATTTTTAGAAAATTAAATCAAATGAATTGACTACATTACTTTCACCCGATAGCGGACAGTTGGAAAAGAAAGGAGGAGGAAAAACGAGCACTTCCCATGGTGGCTAGGTATCCTTACTAGCAGCTCGCAGGTGGACTTGTCTTCTTTCCAAATAATATATGTATAGTCGTAGTCGTCGTTTGTTTTAGGCGTTCGCGTTGGCCGCCATGTTGCGCTGACACCAAACTCCTTTTGGTTTTTGTAGTTTATCCGAAGATTGCAGTTATTCTTCTTTTTGCACGGTCGCCAGATGATCGATATAAATAAGTAGATCCCTTTGCAGATGTACTTCTTTAATCGCTAATTATAATATAAGTTTACAATAATTGAGTGTGTTTTCGTCGCGACTATTAGAATGGCAGTGGCCGGAAGGCGCGCAGCTCGAACCTCTCGCTCGCGCTACGGATGCGTTCCATACACGACGAAGAATGATGCGTTCCGGCGTAGACAGTTCATTTCCATGTAAAAAACTCGTTCCTTGTCACCGTGTTTTCCTAGATTTTTTGTGCGATAGGGTTTCAAACGAGCGGACGGATTACCTGATGATAAGCAATCGGCGCCGCCCGTAGATACCAAAGGTTTCGGATATTTTAGGATTGGGAAGGGATGGGGGAAATGTGGGATTAGAAGAAAGAAAGAAAACTGTTATTATACGGAATGAGACATGAAGGCCAAGAACAAAAAAAAAATACAATAAAGTTTGAATAACAGGACAACAAAATAAAATAAATCAAAACCTTAAACAGACTAAGAAAGTTAGAGTAATGGTAGAAAGGTACCCTGGGTTGGCGGACATGCCCAATCCAAATGGGTCGCCAACTCAGCAAAAGCTGGGCACAGATGAGGATTGAGCCTTCGGTAACCCGGCGAAACACAACGCTGTGGTTTTATCACACCGGATTTCTGTGAGGCCGTGAGGCCGAAGTTATAACTTCGGTCGAGCCGACCCATTCGTGCCGAATCATGACTCTCCCAAAAAAACTCAAACTTAATTGACTGTTTTCCACTGATAGACACTGTTTTCCAACATCAACATTATCATCATCAGTCTATAAGTGCCCACTGCTGAGCAAAGGCCTCTTCTCACACGGAGAAGGTTTGAGCACTAACCACCACGCTTGCTCAAGGCGGATTGGCGATGTCAACCTTATAATTAGATTTTTATAAGTCTAGGTTTACGATGTTTACCTTCACCGTATGTCAGTGGTGTCTTAAAATCATAGAAAGTGCATATAACTCGGAATAAGTCATATTGGTACTTCCAAATTTTAGGACACCTGCATGAGAAGCGGGCGCCATAATCTCAAGGCCACAATAATGTCGTCGGGCGACTGCGACACAATGGTTTAACTAGCTACTCAACTAGATTTTGCCCGCGACTTTGATCGCATAGAATACTGACTTCCCGCAGATTTTTGGTTTCAAAACTATCCTATGTCCTTTCTCGAGTTCCAAACTATGTCTGTACCAAATTTCACACAAATAGGTTCAGTAGTTTAGGCGTGAAGAAAAGACAGACAGACTAAGGTACTTTTGCGTTTATAATGTTAAGTTTGGACAACAAAAACAAACAGGGACAAAACATAATGAAAAACAGATAATAAAATACAAAAAAGTATTTATGAATCTGATTTCCAAGCTCTAAAGAACTGGTTTCGTAATTTAGAATCGAACAAAAAACCTTCGTAAAGTTGAATATTTTATTTTTGGCAATAAATAACAACAATGGAATAATAATTATCTTTACTCAAAAGTCAAAATCATTTATATCAATAAGACCCTTTTTTGTGAGGGGAAAATCATCAAATGACTTCTCCCACCCAAGGTAGGGCGGCAGGGAGTGTCAGACTCTTACTGACTAAAAACCCCCCCGTTCCTTCTCTCGCTCTGGGCGGAGGCCGCGGTGAATCATTGAGCTTCCAACTCCGTCTGAACATCAGCCCTATAGGGCCCCGTCTGTGGTGGTCTAATGGCTATATGAGGCGAGCGCGGAACGCTACGCGCCGTACGCTCGGGCCTGGTTCTGGTCGGGAGGCGACTTACCCTTACTCGCCGTTCGCAGATCCGCGCTTACGGTGGCCATAGATCGTCTCTCTGGTCGTCGCCCGCTTTATTTTTGTGAGGGGTAATCATCAAATGACATCTCCCGCCTAGGGCAGGGCGGGAGGGAGTGTCAGACTCTTACTGACTAAAAACCGCTGTTCCTTCTTCTGCTCTAGGCTGAGGCCGCGATGACTCATTGCGCTTACCCCGCAACCCCGCCTGAACATCAGCCCTATAGGGCCCCGTCTGTGGTGGTCTAGTGGCTCTTTGAGGCGCGCGCGGAACGCTACGCTCCGTAGGGTCTGGTTCTGGTCGGGCGGCGAGTTACCCTTACTCGCCGTCCGCAGTGTAGATTCCAATGGAGAAAAACGAGCAAGAAACGCCATGGTTACTCTTTCTAAATCAGTTTTACATATAGATTCTTTGGTATTATTTAGTTTTGTGAGGAATACTCAGTACTGAATTAGTGCTCAATAGAATTTTACAGCATATTTGTACGATTAAGATAACATTTAAAAATGTAAAATAGGAGCCAGCCCGCAGCGGTAACAAGGTCCAAGCTTCCGATTAGGACTCCAGATACAGAAACCTAACAATACGTGCCGTTTCAAGGAGGACTTTGTATGATCCATCCGCCTAACGTTAGACCCTAAAGGGTCTAGGCCCTTGTCGAGGCTCTTGGGGACTAACCAATTTGCCGAAATAACTATCGGCACAATGATTATGATAATTCAACAAACATACATCCATACATTGACATACACTTTTACATTTATTACATTCATCATCATCAGCCCATAAGTGCCCACTGCTGAGCAAAGGCCTCTTCTCACACGGAGAAGGTTTGAGCATTAATCACCTCGCTTGCTCAATGCGGGTTGGCGATTTCAAACTTATAATTAGAAATTATAAGTCCAGGTTTCCTCACGATGTTTACCTTCACCGTATGTCAGTGGTGTCTAAATAATCATAGAAAGTACATATAACTGGGAAAAAGCCACATTGGTACTTGCCAAGTTTCGAACCTACACCCTCATGCATGAGAAGCGGGCTCCTTAACCTCCGGGCCACCACGACGTGGTGTTAATGATTTATTACATTAGTAGGATGAATTTACATGGACGTTCAAATATACCCATGATACGTAATACGGAGTTTGAAACAACATGTTTCAAACTCCGTATTATTATAGTCGAGATTTTTTATTAAAATTAGGAACTTTATTGTTTCAGGAATATAATCCATGCATCACTGCACAGCGATTGCAAATCCACAAAAAAGGAAACAAGACTTCAAACAAATAAGAATACACCACAAAATTATTTTCAAAAAGTTTACGCATCACTACGCTACCTAAAGTCGGCATATACGGGACTACGCTGAGAAAAGTCTACAAATATAAAAGTACGCTACGAAAAGCAGGAGCGAGCTGCGAAAAAACATCATCAAAGACTACAAAATCAAGAATACGTAACTTAATTTATGTTGGACAAGAGACTACGCAACGTAAAGTCCTTGAGTGATAAGAACTACGCCAACTAAAGTCTGGGACAAATCTGGTAAATTTGGGACTACGCCGAGCAAAGTGTGAGACTACGTTACTCCGAGCGTATTATACGCTGTACCAGGATGTTCAGCAAAGTAATGCTACGAAAACCTGTTGTTCAACTAATCATTAATAATGCGTATTATTACAATACTATTAATAAAATAATGTTGATTAAACTTGGCAAACATAAGGTGGGGAACAACCTTATGCTTGGTGGGTGACATAGACACGCGACAAATATCGATGCACACATTAGAACATATATGTATTAAATTTGAATGAAACGATTTGTAAGTAAATAGAAATAAGCATAATCAGTTAACGCGGCGAGCGTAAAGTAAGCTTTATGCTCGCCGCGTTAATATAATTACTGCGTCAAATATCGACGCATACAATAGAACATAAATGAATGGGAGAAATATAAATAATTTCAATGACTATTGTACAAAACCATACGACGACGGTGGTTTTGGTCTTGGAGAAATGACAGAAAGTTTCGCGCTCCCGAATAACTGTATAAATCTCATATAAGTTATCGTGCTAACAATCTATAACTAATTCTCACAAAAATATTGAAATAAAAAACACCTATACTTTCCCATGTAACGAAACCATAGCGCGATCTATTTCGATCCCAACGCCATCTAGGAAAGCAAAACTCAAGTCTTTTCGGATCGCGCTACGGTTCCGCTTAACACCGTAAACAACTAGGTATAAATAAAGTTAATATAATTAATGCGCCAAACATCGAAAATACTTATTTCTCTATTAAAACAACATCATTAGGTATTTGTAAATAAATAGTAATAAGCACTTATTATTATGTAAATATCTACAATTAACGTTAATTAAAGTTTTGAATTTTGTGCTCGCCACATTAATATAAGTATCAAAGCACACAGTTAAACATTGTTAGTATTTGTAAAGAAAAATAAGCAATGAGCACTTGTAATTTTCGAAAAATGTACCATTAATGCGGCGAGCATAAACTTTCAAGCCTTATGCTCGCCGCGTTAATATCATTTCTGCATCAAATATCGACGCATACAATGGAACATAAGTATAATCTTTATACATATGATTGTTTCAAAAGACATTTAGTCTTATATGTAGAACACCAGAACCTGGCAAGCATAAGGTCGTGTCAACCTTATGCTTGCCGGGTCATATAATTCACGCGAAAAACATCGAAACAATCTATTTTTGTAATTTGTTCAATATTGTACATAACTAATTTAACGCGACGAGCATAAGCGATTAGCATTCAGTGAGGTAAATGTGAGGAAACAATCTTAGAGGAATTTATTGAACAAGGTATTAGAACAAGCGCAGTGCTGGACGTCTACCCACAAAGTGTACAGATGACCTGATAAAGCTGACGCTGAATGAGGGTCGGTTCCTATTGGCAGTGCCTGGGTCTCGTGGCTGACATAATTACTTAATAACCAAAAAATGCCAACCTTTAATAAAGCACGCAAGTGCTTACTTTGGAGATTTGTTGAAAGACAGACACGACACATTGTGCTCGCCGCGTTAATATAATTAATGCAACAAACATCGACACACACAGTAGAACAGATTTATTATTTGTGAATAAATAGTAATAGTCACTTATTACTTATTGTGTAAATATCTACAATTAACGCGGCGAGCGTAAAGTTTGTCATTGTATGCTTATGCTCATCGCGTAATACAAATTGCTATACTTAATAATGCTCGTAAACGCGGCGACCATAAATTTAGAAGGTTTATGTATTTATGCTTGCCGCGTTAATAATACATCATCAACGCACACAGTAAAACAATATCATTAGGTGTAAATAAATAAATTGTAATAAGCATTTATGATTATACAAATATATATACAATTAACGCGGCGAGCGTAAAGTTTGTAACCTTATGCTTGCCGCATTAATATAATTAATGCGACAAATATCGACGCACACAGTAGAACACATTCATTATTTTACATTTAATTCATATAGTAATGTTAATAAACGCTGCGAGCGAAATGTTGCTCACCGCATGCTCGTCGCGTTAATACATATCGAAGTACACTAAAGCATAATGATATGAGCATTCTTAAATAAATAGCAATGACCATGTGTAATTTTCGAAAAATGTACAATTAAGGGTACGCGCATATAATTTTAAACCTTGTGCTTGCAGCGTTAATACTATAATTAACGCGACAAATGCTATAAATAATGAGTGCATACGCTGCGAGCCTAAATTCACTGTTAATATAATGAATGTGCCAAACATCGACGCACACAATAGAACAATATCATTATTTGTAAATAAATAGTAATATACATTTATGATTATGTAAATAAATACAATTAACGCGGCGAGCGTAAAGTTTGTAACCTTATGCTCACCGCGTTAATATAATTAATGCGACAAATATCGACGCTCACAATAGAACATAAAATGAAAGTTGAATGTTAGAAATATAAATAATTTCACTTACAAAAGCTGTCGCCTTATTTACGCATAATAATTTTACGCTCGTCGCGTTTATACAAATATTAGCACACAGTGGAACACAATTACTTAGTATTGTAAATAAATAGCATACGCATTTGTAACTCTCGTAAAATGTACAATTAACGCCGCGAGCATCAAGTTTAAGCGTTATGCTCTTATATGTTAATATAATTAATGCGACAGAAATCGACGCACACATTAGAACAATATCATTATTTGTAAATAAATAGTAATAAGCATTTCTAATTATATAAAAAAATACAATAAACGCGGCGAGCGTAAAGTTTGTAACCTGATGCTCGCCGCGTTAATATAATTAATGCGACAAATATCGACGCTCACAATAGAACAAATTAATAATTTGTAAATATGTGTAACATCGATTAACAAAATGTTAGCAAATGCGGCGAGCGTAAAGTTTGTCATCGTATGCGTATGCTTGTCGCGTTAATACAAATATCAAAGCACACAGCAGAATATAACTCGTATTCATAAATAAATAGCAATGCGAATTTGTAATTTAAGTAAAATGTACAATTAACGCTGCGAGCATCAAGCTTCAAGCCTTATGCTCGTCGCGTTAATGCTATATTTAATGTAACTAATGCTATAAATAAATAATGTGTGGAAGCGTAGCGAGCATGCATTTAGAAGCTTTATGTTCGCCGTATTAATATAATTAATGCGACAGAAATCGACGCACACATTAGAACAATATCATTATTTGTAAATAAATAATAATAAGCACTTATTATTATATAAATAACTACAATTAACGCGGCGAGCGTAAAGTTTGTGACCTTATGCTCGCCGCGTTAATATAACTAATGCGACAAATATCGACGCTCACAATAGAACAAATTAATAATTTGTAAATATGTGTAACATCGATTAACAAAATGTTAGCAAATGCGGCGTGCGTAAAGTTTGTCATCGTATGCGTATGCTTGTCGCGTTAATACAAATATCAAAGCACACAGCAGAATATAACTCGTATTCATAAATAAATAGTAACGAGAATTTGTAATTTTCGTAAAATGTACAATTAACGCGGCGAGCTTCAAGCTTCAAGCCTTATGCTCGTCGCGTTAATACTATAATTAATGTAACTAATGCTATAAATAAATAATGTGTGGAAGCGTAGCGAGCATGCATTTAGAAGCTTTATGTTCGCCGTATTAATATAATTTATGCGACAGAAATCGACGCACACAGTAGAACAATAACATTATTTGTAAATAAATAGTAATAAGCATTTCTGATTATACTTATATGCACGTATAAATATCTACAATTAACGCGGCCAGCGTAAAGTTTGTAACCTTATGCTCGCCGCGTTAATATAAT